ACACATGGCGAGGCAGACCTCTCCTGACCCGCCCGCTGCTCCCCTCAGCAGTGGACTTGGTCGATCTGCCTGTTCTGCTCCCCACTGTCTCTGGTGAAGCCTCTCACCGCCCCTCAGCCTCTGGCCTGTACCCCAGTTCTGTATGTACAAATAAATAAATCTTTAAAAAACGGGGTGGGTGGGGAGGGAAGTGCATGGTATTATGGTGATGGCACACGGGTGACTTGGTGATGGGAAACCCGCAGGGATTACAATTGAGATGGGGGAAAAAATGTACAAAATGATGTAAAAATAAACTTATAAAAAAAATAAAAAGAAAAAGAAGAGCTAATAGGCTATTCAGAGAGTAAAGCAAAAGGATTAATTAGTAAGCTCAGTTATTCAGTTTTATCCTGCCAGTTTTGTCAATCAAAATAGACCTCACTAAGTTCACATCATTTTCTTACTCCACTTTGCTAAGTGTGCTCTGTATCTGTGTGGCTGATGTAGGAATCTAAGATAAACTATACAGTTGCTTTCAAGAGTTACCTTATTGCTTTGGCACTCTTTTATCTTGGAAAATCTGTAATTCAGGGTAATGTTCAAGGTAAAATTCAGTTATCTTAGGTTACTGGAAAACTGTTAGTCTGGATAACTGGTTCCTTTATAATGGATAGTTACTCTATGCAGGATAAATCAGTACTTTTAAACATAACAATCAAAGAGCTAATCAGCAAAGAACAAATGTTCTTAATTTACTGATGAGAAAGTTTAGCTGAGATGTGAATTAAAGGGTTGAATTAACTATATCTGTATATCAGCTAAACAGCTTTGTTTTTTCCTTAGGGCAAAGGTTTGTTCAGTATTCACTAGGGAAAAGAAAACAGTGATTAATTTTTTTAACTCTACTTTTTCTTCAAAGGAACCAGTTTCTAGCATGTCCTACTTCTTAAATTTGCCATATAGAGGTCTTCTAAAGGCCCAGAATGATTTTCTTCCTTGAATGTGGGAAATTTTAGGAATGATCTAAATGAGGACCCAAAAGGATGCCTTCGTTTACTCCGAGTGACACTGCCTAGGTTTCAGTCCCTTCAGGGTGCATTCATCTAACCCCCACAACAAATGCTGTGACAGACATGTCTGGGTTCACAACATGCTAGAAGTTTGTGAGTTCCTGAGGGTGATCCAGGTGTTGTAACTCAAAAGTGGGTTTTACCTGGACAGAGCTTCTTAACCAAACATAGCTTCCAAAACATTTAGTGCTGACCTTCAAAATGTTTTGTGAACTTTGTTGCCAATAGCAAATTCTCCTTTAACATAATGGTCAGGTTTCTACTAAGCAAAATTTGCACATTAACTGAAAGTGAAACAAAACTGTTTTTGTTTCTTCTGGCCTGTATCTAATGCTGTGTTTGCACACAGTGGACACTGTAAGAATAGTTCTGACAACCAGCAGGTTGGCCACCGGTTTTCCCATGATTTGCTAATCCCCTGCTTGCTGAAACCATTAATAACTCAAATGCCTTTAGACTTTGCTATAAATACCAGTCTGCTTGATGTAAAACAAATTTATGGCTACTGCATTCTATGTTTATGGGAGAATACCTCGCAGAAATTGCTTGAAATTTATAGGTAGGAAGAACTGCTTATTAGAGAGTTTTATTCTGATATTCACTGGAGAATAGTTGAGGGAGTTATTGGATTATTGGCTAAAGAAGTCAGATAATTTAAATGAAATTATATCTTGTGTATTGGGGTGTGTGTGTTTCTATATTGAAAATGCTTCAGTTTGAAAACTGGAAAATTAGATCTTTAATTGACATTTTTATTTAAGTAGAAGTGTTCATTATTAATGTGACTCTTTTATCTCACAAATAACTTCATGTACTCTGCTTGTGTCGACTCAGTTACAGAGAAACCCCTTAAATTTATAACTTCCAAATTATAAAATTTCAAGAGGCTTCTGTCATACTTAGTACAAGTAGATAAGAAATCCAGCTAGAAAAAAATTTCACGTTTTTTGCTATAGGTTTTTAAAGTGGGTTTGTGAGATGACAATAATAATTTCACTAGATGCTAATGATAAATTTTATCTGTATTAGGAAATAAATACTAATTGGGGATAAGAAATGAATTTATCTGTTTTCATGCTCGTATGTGAGATTTCTAGTACCATAACATTCCCACTTGAATTAGGACATTTCCCCAATTTTTTTTTTTTTTTCAGATTTATTTATTTGTGCATACAGAACTGGGGTGCAGGCCAGAGGCTCAGGGGCGGCGAGAGGCTTCACCAGAGACAGAACAGGGAGCAGAACAGGCAGATCGACCAAGTCCACTGCTGAGGGGAGCAGCGGGCGGGTCAGGAGAGGTCTGCCGCGCCCTGGGGTCACCTCCGGGGCAGGCGGGGATCGAACTCATGCGGAAGTGGCTATGCTTTAACCCACTGTGCCACTAGGGAGGGCCCATTTCCCCAATTTTAAGTATTAGTTGCAGTCTTAACACCTACATTAACGGTTTCATTGTATAAACATTAGACCTGCTATAAAATTATTTTTATGAAGAAAAAAAATGTAGTCTTATTTTAACTTAATATGTGGGACAGTAACTAGGCAAAGAAAGTAAATACAAGGCTTTAAATTTGTATATGGATATGGATATATTAAAGCCAAATCTGAGGACTTCCATGAGCATTACAATTCTGCTTTATACAGAGGTAAACATTTTTAAAAGTTTTTGTGAGTCCATTTTTATTTTCTTATTGGAATGGTAAATAGATGCCTGGTCATCAGCGTTCTTATGTTGGAGCATTGGGAGGAACAGAACTTTAATCATTGTCCTATAATATACATCTGGGTGAAAAAAAACTGACTGAACACGTGTTTGTGAATTTGGAAAACTTTCTAGGGGAAAAGATTTATGAACTTCCCTGGTGACCTAGGAGTTAAGTCTTACTACTATCACTTGGTAAGGCATGAGTTCGATCCCCAGCCAGGGAGCTCACCCACAGGGCACAGCAGACCTCTTCTGTCTTGCCCACTGCTCCCCTCAGCAGTGTATTTCACTAGATTTGCATATTCTGCTCCTCACTCTGTCTCTGGAGAATCCTCACATCTGACACCGCCGCGCCCCCCCCCCCCATCTCAGGCCTACACCTCAGGTCTTTAAAGCAGAAAAAGAAAAAGGCATTTCTTAAATAAAAACATTAAATAAAAAGGAAAAGAATTATGTTTAATTGCACATATTAAGATGTCTAAATTAATCTGTTATGAAGAAAGGCTAGTGTGAGAAAATTTGTTCTTCCACATATAACTTTTTGATTTCAAGGAAAAAAATTTGACACTGACATAGAAGATATGGACTGTAGTACTTCAGTACTACAGAGAAGATGGACTGAGGAAGTGGGCAACATAGAACTTGTCCTTTAAAGGAAACCCCAAAGAATATCTGTCTCTCCATCCCCCAACTTCCTCCCAGAATGTTGGGCTTCAAAGAACAAACAGATTAACGGTTATCAGGAGTAGTATGGCTTGGGCTGAGTAAAAGAAAATTGACTGAATTATACTACTGACTTAATCACTACAGGTTTCTGGTTGGATTGTTTCTGTGTGAGGGTAAAGAAAACATAGCCAGGAGGCATTAAAGCGGCAGTTACTGGTAAACGGTGAGGGAGTCAAATGACAGAGAGATGAGACCAGAAACACAGGACCAAAGTTCCTAAGACACAGTTTGACATCAAGCAAGTTTGACAGTGTCTGCAGATATCTGGAACTGACCAGATATGTGACTAAGCATGCCAAGGAGAGCTGCTGCTGGTGGACACAGGCCCAGCATCATCAACGGACTCGCTAGGACTATGACAGGGGCAGCCTCTGGGACAGACCCTGCCTCTACACTGCCTTCTCTACGGGAAATCCTGGAGCCCTTGAAGGATGGGAAGATAAAATTTCCGACTCGGACGCTGCAGGAAAAGGTCCTGAGGTTAGGGTCAGCGGCAAGACCGTCCTGTGTCAGGTGGGGGATCGTGCTGGCGTTGGTTGTGATTTCCCTGCCAGGCCGGGGCTGTGGCCTGGCGTCAGCACACGACTCTTCCTATGAGATAGTCACCCCCACGATTCTGACGGCGGAGCGGACGGGAGACCCCGGGGAAGAGGCTTCCTACGTGCTGGTTGTGCAGGGCCAGAAGCAGCTGATTCACCTGACGGTGAAGAGAGACTATTTTGTCAGTAACTTTCCTGTCTTCAGCTACCACAGTGGCATCCTGGGGCAAGAAATGCCTTCCGTCTCACGGGACTGCCACTACGAAGGCTACATAGAAGGTGCCCCAGGTTCTTTTGTCTCTGTGAACACCTGTTCAGGCCTCAGGGGCATCCTCATCAAGGACGGGAAAGCCTATGGCATTGAGCCCATGGAGCCTTCGCAAGGGCCTCAACATGTGCTGTTCACCATGGCACAGCAAACGCGAGTCTCCTGCGCCGTCACCTCCAAAGCCAGCCCAGGGGCGTCCGCCAGCTGGCAGCAAGGGGGCAGGAGGCCTCCCAGCCCGCACACGCTGTCCTCCCTGTGGTCACACACCAAGTACGTGGAGTTGTTTGTGGTGGTCAGCAACCAGCGGTTCCAGATGTGGGGCAGTGACGTCAATGAGACCGTGCGGAGAGTAATGGACATCATTGCCCTGGCCAACAGCTTCACGAGGGGGATAAACACAGAGGTGGTGCTGGCCGGGGTGGAGATGTGGACCGAGGGCGACCTCGTAGAGGTGCCTGAGGACTTGGGAGTTGCACTCAGGAATTTCAACAGCTGGAGACAAGAGGAGCTCTTCCCGCGTGTGAAGCATGATGTCGCCCACATGCTCGCTGGCCGTCAGCCTGGACAGGCCACGGGGAGGGCATTTCTCGGTGGTGCCTGCTCAAGTGAGTTTGCTGCAGCTGTGGAATCCTTCCACCACGAAGATGCCCTCCTGTCCGCTGCACTCCTGGTGCACGAGCTCGGGCACAACTTGGGTATTGAGCACGACCACACGGCCTGCATTTGCGGGGATCAGCGCTTTTGCCTCATGCATGAAAACGTCACCAAAGAAAGTGCCTTCAGCAACTGCAGCTCTGACTACTATTACCAGTTCCTGCACACACACAAAGCGGCCTGCCTGTTCAACAAGCCTCAGCACCAGGGCCGCAGACCCAGGGATTATCACTGTGGAAACGGCGTGCTGGACGATGGGGAGCAGTGTGACTGTGGTCCTGACTGCAGCAGTCACGAGTGTTGCGACTCCACATGTCGGCTGAAGACTGACGCCTTGTGTAGCCAGGGACTCTGCTGTTTTAATTGTCTCTACAAACCCAAAGGATACACCTGCCGTCCCGCTTTGGGAGAGTGTGACCTCCCAGAGTATTGTGATGGCACCTCTGAAGTGTGCCCAAACAACATGTACAAGCAAGATGGCACTCGGTGTGACATGGTCCACTACTGTGTCGGGGGACAGTGCAGAAACCCTGACAGCCAGTGCGTGAACATATATGGGAACGCGGCAAGGTCTGCCCCACAAGAGTGCTACACAGCTCTCAACAGCCAAGGGAACCGGTTTGGGAACTGTGGCCGTCCCCCTGCAGCTGACCAACCCTACGTCAAGTGTCTAGATGACAACGTATTTTGCGGGAAACTCGTATGCACTGGAGTCAGAGAGCTACCGTCAATCAAACCCCAGCACACAGTGATTCAGGTTCCTTATCTGGAAGACTTCTGCTGGAGCATGGATGCCTATGGCACCACCGACATCCCCGATGACGGAGACGTGTACTCTGGCACTTACTGTGCTCCTAACAAAGTCTGCATGAATTCTGCCTGCAGAGAACACACCGTGCTCAACTATGACTGTGAACCCGAGTTGATGTGTAATGGGAACGGGATCTGCAACAACTTAAGGCACTGCCACTGTGACTATGGCTATGACCCTCCTGACTGCAAACATCGAGGATACGGGGGCAGTGTGGACAGTGGCCCTCCTGGCATACCTGATAATTTAAATGAAAGTACAAATAGGATTCCTAAGAGTTTTAAAAGCATAGAGACTGAGGATTATGTTCGTCTAGCAATTTACATAATCCCAGCATTTCTTTTCATATTAGTTTGTCTTTTATGCGTTTTCCTATGCCTCAGGACTGGAGTTGATACAGTAGATGACACAGCCACACCCTCAGAGATAAGCTCTGAGGAGACCAGTAGCACTGAAGAGCTACTACAGGAGAAAGAAGAGGAAGAAGAAGAAAGGTTATTAGAAGAAGCACTCCTGCCAGGGGAAGCTTTTCCACCAGCAGAAAGTCCCCAACCAGGAGAGGGTCCCCCACCAGCAGAGAGCTACCCACCAGAGGCCCCACCAGCAGAAGTGCCCCCACTACCACCAGCAGAGGCTTCACCTGAGGCCCCCCTACCACCAGCAGAGGCCTCACCTGAGGCCCCACCACCACCAGCAGAGGCTTCACCTGAGGCCCCACCACCACCAGCAGAGGCCTCACCTGAGGTGTCACCACCAGCACCAGAGGCCTCACCTGAGGCCCCACCACCAGCACCAGAGGCACCACCAGCACCTGTGGCCTCTTAAGAACCTCTGCCCTAGGGGTGGTCGCAGGTAGTGCAGCAATAGCCAGAGGAAGAGTCCTGGAGGAAGGCCCAAGTACATGAAACACCTCAAGCACTGAGGGAATGGACAAGTGGACACTGATGGCTCCGTGGCTCTGCAGGGACTACGGGCTGCAGGAACACTAATCTGCAGGCGCGATCCCCGCTGTCAATATTCATTCGTAATTGGTTACGGATTCACTCATGAAATCATATATACAACATTCTGTAATTCTGCCTATTCCGTTTCATGAGCAATTTATTGATGCTCTTCTGGGTCACTGCTATCAGCGTCTTCCTTCATTTGACCGATTTCTGATCTGAAAGCCTCTTCAGAGCCTACCAGATTCCATCTACATCACTTCTATGGTACTATCTGTATCATATTACTACCAGTGATTATCATCTCAGTCACAATCCATGATTTAAGTGCCACTATCTGCTGAGTAATCTGCCTTGGCAGTTTCTACTTATGAAACAGAGGCAATGAAATAAATAAAATCTATTTGCAGATGCAGCCCAGTACTTGGGGCTTCTTTATTTTGGGGTGCTTTGTAAAGGGCTACATATGACCAGGCCGGTCATACACCTGGGGAGCAGGTACATAGGGAAGCAGCAGGTTACCAGGGCAGGAGGCTGCCTTCATAATACTGAGGTCATGTTTGAGGATTTTTTTCCTTTAGATTTAAACATTTTCTACTTGAAGTTGGTAACTTATCTACCGACAATTCACAGCAATAGGGGTAACTATACTTTTGGATGTGGCATTTCTCTGTGAAGACAGTCTAAAGTCATATAATGATAATGTTGCTGATTCTGAGTCAAACACTGCTTGTTTAATACTCGCTATGCACTGTATTATTTAATTTCATCCTTCCATTGCCTTATGCGAACTCCCTTTCTGAGAGAAAAAAAGAGACCAGAGTTTTGCTGTAGAGCTAGTAAGGGTCGGGACCCACTCTAGATATGATATGACTCTAGATATGCCAGTCTACATTCTGCACTGTCCCAAGAGCCATTTCCTCAGTGTAAAAAGTGATGGGGAGGACAATCTGTATTTCCTTCATTGTCCAGAACGCAGCTCTGATGAAACAAAGCCTCACAAATGGATGCTGATGTCCAACATCAACCAGCACACTGTGTGGTCTTCATCTGTGGAAGTGTCTTTCTCCCGAGGACACCGTGATACGTGGTGTGGCAGGTTTGCCTTATGCGAACTTGTTCATCGTGGGGACACACTCACTGCAGGTGTTCAGTGTACATGACCAACGAAGGGTCGGATGGGAGCCAACCTTACAACTGGAGGGCAACTTCTCAGCTGCCTCTCGCGAGCTCCCAGGTGTGGCACAATTGAACCTCACTCCGGTACGTCATCGCTACAGGTTGAGTATTCTCAGTCTGGGGATTCCTGAGCATCAGTCCCCAGCGGTCCATTGGCTGAGCCCTCCCCCAACTCTCACCCTCGAGAAGGAGCTAAGGTCTGGTTTGTTCCAGCTTTCAGGAAACTGATGTTCATGACTTTTGGGGCACAAAACCAAACTGCAGCACAATGTCCTAAATTATGCCCTCAGTTTGTGCAAGTCTCCAGGTCACGGGATGTGCTAGTCAGAGCTCAGAAGGCTGCAGGGCAGGTGCAAATGCATGGTGGAACGCAGTATTGGTTGGGACCCACAGAGTTTTGTGAGTAAGGGTGAAGCTAGGAAACCAAAGACCTTGCAATACACATGTGTCCTTCGAGACTTGAAAAAGATGTGGAGGATGCCTGGCGGAAGCGCGTCAGTGGGGAACAACAGGGGTGTTCTTCCCAGTTAGGGCACCATGCGGTGATGATGGTAGTAAAAGCCGAGACACCTCCCATAGTTTTAAAAACTTCAAATATAAAGAAAATGATGATTTAGGTAGGGGTAGTTATGCTCAGCTAATTTTGTGACATTTTTAAAGAGTAAAAGGCAGCTAGAGAAAGGACACAAAAACATTAACAAATGGATATCTGCGCCCCTGTTTAAGCAGCAGTTTTTTAACTGGTTAGATATAGAAACATTATAAATACTTTAAAATAGATGACTGGATCAAGAAGATGTGTTCTATATACACAATGGAATATTACTTAGCCACCAAAAAGATAAACTCATGCCATTTTAGCAACATTTCAACAACATTCAGTAACTGAGCCTTAAGGGAATATGCTCAGTGAAGTAAGACAGAAAGAAAAAGAAAATTATTGAATGGTTTTACTTATAGGAAGAATGTACAGGAAACATGGCATCAAGAAAAAAGTAATTATAATAAATTAAAAATAATATTAACAGGCAACTATAAATCATAGACATTCAGCAGAGGAGGGGGAAGGAGAGGTTTCAACACTGGTGGGGAAAGAGCACAAGGGACTATGATGATGGAGCATGGGTGAATCGCGGTGGGAATTCTATGGGGACTCCACCTGAGAAGAGAACGTGTACACTGTACAAAAAAGGAAGAATGATGTAAATATACATACATACATATATATATATATACACACAACACACACATATACATATAAAATTAACAAAGGAAATGTTTTTTAAACTGCTGACTCTTGAAAATTAATGTACCCCCCTTTCTTTTGTATATTAATCTTTAACAATATTTGAACTAGGGAGGAAAGGAGAAAGGAGACCCAATGTCAATGGGTCAAGTATATGTACTTGATATGTTACACTTGCTGTGTGATAAAATTACTGTAGTCTTCCATAAGGAGGTCATGCCACAATGAAGCTTAGGAGGATACTGAAGCCCCTGGAGCAATTTGAGTGGCAGAGCCATGACGTCTCTTCTCACAGAATGTACAATACTTAAAAAGAAAACATCTGAGGTGCTGTTGCAGCTGACTGTTCAAGGCTTCAAGCATTTTCACTACTATTACCTACTTGACTCTCTGACACCTTTTTTTTTTTAAGATTTATTTATGCATACAGAACTGGGGTACAGGTCAGAGGTGAGAGGATTCACCACAGACAAGAGTAGGGAGCACAATAGGCAGAGTGACAAAGCACACTGCTGAGGGGAGCAGCAGACAGGAGAGGTCTGCTGCACCATGTGGGTTAGCTCCCTGGCTGAGGATCAAACTGGTGCTGAGGCTGCTTCGGCTAGCTTAGTAGTGCTGTGCTTTAACCCACTGTGCCACCAGGGAGGGCCAGATTCTGACATCTTTCTTGGATTCCCTACACACTTATTTGCTCACCCTATCCTAGAGGTTTGGAATTTCCATTACTCTCCCATCTTCCATAGTAGAACGTATGTATATACCTGGTATGGCATTAAAGAAGTGACAGCAGGGTCTTCCTGTCCACTGGCAAATGTTGGCTCATGTGACTTTGGAAAACAAACCTTTCCTAATGTCAGGGTGTTAACAGGAAGGGCCTTCTATACCATAGCCACTTCCCACCCTGGGTTTTATTCATAATCTTGTCTATACTGAAAGACCTTATTCTTTCCCACCCCTAGTTAGTTCAAAGTCTCACAGCTCTGGTGGGGTTCTTGAAACCACTCCTTCACAGTTTTCTCTGCCTTAAAAAAAAAAAAAACAAAAAAACAGAACATGGGTCCTTTTTGAGGATACTCATGGAAAGAGGCTACAGGGGCATCAGTCTGTAACAGACCATCATGTGGTTATTTTCTACAGAACAGACAGTATTCATACATGCTTGCTACTGGGCAAAAATTCCAACTGGCATGTTGCAAGCAAGCAGTGTTTTGACTCCTAGCACATGTTCTAAGAATCATATCAAATTTTGGAGGTATTCATGCCATAGGGAAACAGAAAAATCTTGTGAGACATGATGAATAAAGTGTGAAATCATAACATTTCTTCAAGTGATGTGTTGAAGAATGACAGTCAGCTAGTAACAGTGAGCTCGGTGTGGCTGCAGACAATTTTGCATGAAAGATCTAAATAAAAAGGCATAGGCTCACTGCCAGGGAATCGTAAGAAAGGCTTTCCCTTGTGCCCTCTACTGGCCCTTTACCCACCCAAAGTCTTCTTTATGCTTCCATGGGTAAAATAAATCCTTATAGGAACACAGAAATACAAAATGATATGCTAAATAAAGCAAAGGCTACCCATTAATTCTTTGCTTTTTTTTAAAAAAAGGTTTATTTATTTATACATACAAGAGTTGGGGTATAGACCACAGGTGCACAGGTGGTGAGGGGATTCCCCAGAGACAGAGTGGGGAGCAGAACAGGCAGATCGATGAAGCACACTGCTGAGGGGAGCAGCGGGCGAGATAGGAGAGGGATCCTGGCCAGGGATCCAACTCATGCTGTATAACTACAGAGAGCTTCACAGTGCTGAGTGAGACTTAACACCATAGGCCACCAGGGATGCCCTAATTCTTTGCTTTTTAAAAATGACAGTGAACCCCAACTTTGTGCTAACGGATATGTCATGATCGAAGGAAAGCTCACAGATAGGAACCTCTGTAGGAAAATTAAAATTGTTGCAGAAAGATGATACCAGTATATCAACAACTATTGAGAATCTCTATATAGACTATACATTTTATTTAATATTGTGCCTAAAAAGAGGACATGTACTATTTGTGTCTTTTAAGTTGTCTTGATTGTCATGGTAGCTACTTATAACCAATGTAAATATGTTTTGCCAAGTATTTTGCAGAAAATATTTTACAAAACTTTTGAACTCAAGCATAAGAGGAAACGACAGGCACCTTCTCTTAGCACTGTGAGAGGTTTTCTGTCTCCTTGGATGCTAACAGCAGTACTCTGGAAGCTCTGAGTATTTTGTTCTTCTATCCCCCAAAAGAAGAATTTTCTAAGAGCAAAAATTAACCTTTTATGAAAGGAGACAATCCCCTTTCTCCTGAGGGGTTTTTCATACTCCCTGGCCCTGTGCTCCAGGTGTTACTTAAGTCAGATATGACAAAGGATGTAAGTTATTATTATTGACAGTACACTGCTCATCAGCAATGAGACTTACCCATTATCAGGTCATGATACTGAATTTCCTTGTATCAATGGCAGCTGCAGTACCATATGGTCACCTGCAAGCTTATTCTACATCCCAACAAAGCTGTAAGTCCTGGGCCAGGGAAGCAAGCCTTGGTTAATGTGGCAATTGCTGCCTGGGGCCCAGTTCCAGGCTAGACTGGTAGAGTCTTTATTTTTAAATTTTATTATGTTTTCCTGAGAGCCCCACTCAAGACCACGGCGGCATTTAAAGTGAATCTGCTTCTTGGATCTTAAACCAAGGATTCTGCCTTTCTCCCTCATCTGACCATAGTTACAATCCTTAATTTGCAAATGGCTCAGGACAGGCCAACTTTCATATCCTTGGACTTGCTGCCCAAGCTTGATGTTTTTCTAAGAAGGAATTGATGTGTATCTCTTCTCCTAATTCATTCATTCATTTCACCATAACTGAGTCTTTACCTGCAAACTGTACTAGGACTATAGAAATGGAAGTAAACAAAGTTTCTGACCCTATGAAAATTAAACAAATCACAAATAAAGAGAGAACTAAGTATACAACGTGCCAGGTGGCACTATGTGCGATGGGACAAAATGAGGCAGCAGAAAGGGAAAAGGTGGTGCTCACAGCAGTCTGGCCTGATAAGGTGGCATTTGAGGGGAGGGAAGTGAGGGTTCTGCCAGTACTGGGGAATTAACAAACCAGGAAGAAAGGGCGCTAAGGAAATGGTCCCAAGGAGAGAGAGAGGTTGGCATACCTTAAGCACACCAAGGAGGTCAACGTATCTGGACAGAGTGAACATGACTGAGAGTCGTGGTTGAGGACTCGGAGCAGGGACAGGTCCCCTGATGACTTCGTAGGAATGGCAAGAAACTGTGTTTATTTCAGTGGACATGGGAACATGGGAGGGCTTTAGGGAAGGGGCTACTGGAGTAGAAGAGTAGTGAAATCATTCCATCTTCTATGGGAGTGAGGGACGAGCAAGGGTAAGGCCATGAGCAATGTGCAAATGCAAAAGCAGAGGACCCACGGAGACTTATATTTGCCACATAGGGGATGCTTAATGCTTTCAGCAGGGTGGGTGAAGAGGTGGTAAGAGGCTAGAGTCTGGTATTGTTAGATAGAGCTGAAGGAAATTCCTGCTGGGCAGATGTATAGTGTGAGAGGAAGGGAGCAAAGATGATTTCAGTGGCAAAGCTCTGAGCATCTGCAAGACAGAAGCACCACTTACTGACACAGGGATGAGTGTGGAAAGAGCAGACATTGGACATATGTAGTCTGAGATACCTAAGTGGGCATATCAGCTGTGCAGCAAGATGCTTGCGTCTGCAATTCAGGAGAGAAATTAGTGAGGGGTGCATGTTTGGGTGCTATCAGTAGACAGATGATAGCTCAAGCAATGAGCCAAGTGTCACTGCCTTGGGAATGAGTATAAATAGAGAAGGGAAGAGATCTGAAAATTGGGTGACAAATTAGCTCCAGGGCACCCAAGGTATTGATGTTGGTAACAGGAGGAAGATTTAGGAAAGACTTGGGAACAAGAGCAGCTGGTATGCAGGAGTACTGCCATGAGAGAGTACTGTCCTGAAAATGAACATGAGAGGGTGTGTCTAGATGAGGTTTACACTGCAAATCCAGTCCATCCATAGATTCTCTTGTCTTCTCAACGCAGATGTAGAATGTGACCTGTTATCATCACCTCCAGTTCGCTTACATTGCCAACCACCATCAATTTCCTTCTAGACAATTGTAGAAGTCCTTAACTCATCTCTGCTTCCACCCTGGCTTCCTCAATAGCCTGGAAAAGCAGTGATTCTGTTAGAATCACTCATGCATTATCTTTGAAATGTTGCTGAGAGGCTCTGAAAGTAATGTTATCAACTGATCTGACAATGAACAGTTATTCAGTTATTCATAAGTATCCTACAGTGGAGCAAATTGGATGGATGAGTGGGGATGAAAGCTTATTCCAGTGGAGTCAAGATATGAAGGATGGGAAATATTAATTCAAAGGGGAAACTGTACTTTCACACTCACTGCAATAGCCAAAATGCTCCAAAACAGATGAGAGGATTAAGATGTGGCATATATATATATATATATATATATATATAATGGAGTACTACTCAGTGGTGAAAAAGATACAGTCACACCATTTACAGCAACATGGATGGAGCTAGAAGGGATAATGTTAAAGTCAGAAGGAGAATGACAAGCATCAAATGGTGTCACTTGTAGGTGGATTTATAAGTAGAAACCAGACGAAAGGTCACATAAAGCCAACTCAAAAACTAACTCTTGAGAACAAACTATAAAACTGAGACATTCAGAGGGGGAGGGGAAGAGGCAGGGGAGAGCACTGTGAGGATTATGGTAGTGGATTATGGGTGCCTGCATGGTGGGAGCGCTATGGTAACAGCACCAGAAGGGCAGAGACTGTATTTCCAGAATACAAACAATATAAACCAACGTAAGCTCAATAAAAAAAAAAAGAAAGAAAAATATAAAGTGTCAAAAACTCTTGGGGAGGTGTTCAACGTCATGAATATTCAGAGAAATGCAAATTAGATAGCCACAAAAGAATATCACCACAACAGTCCAAGACTGGCTTTCTGAGACTGAAAATTTCAAGTATTTCTTTGCAACAGTGGAAACTCATATCAATTGCTTTGAAATGTCAACTAGCAAGTCGTTTTTAAATAGAATTTTTTAGTGTATGATTAAAATTTGCTTCAGGCAAATACCTGAACATATTTGCTTATTTTCATCAACTTACTGTACAATAAGGGTCACAGAGTACTCTTCATAGCATTCTAAAATAAAAGAAACCTGGGTTCAGAGAAAACAATGTTGAACTGTGACAGGCCCATATAGAGAAACATAAGGAGAGCAATGAAAAGGAATGAACTGCAATGCATCCCAAAAAAGTAGTTGAAGTCGATTAAACATTATGTGGAAAAGAGAGGTCAAACAATCACTGTATTTACGTGACCTTGAGGTAAAATGGGGAGCCCCTCCAAAATGTCAGAGCAAGGCCCTCCAGTAATTCTCTCCTCCACAAAAGCAGTGGTACCACTCTAAAAATAATCAAAATCAACTTTGAGAAAGTTTGGAAATGGGGCCCTCCCTGGTGTTGCGAGGGGCTTAGACGCAGCAGCACTGCAAGCTAGCCACAGACGCTTCAGTTTGATCCCTGCCCTGAAGGTGACCCACATGGTGCGGCAGCCCTCTCCTGTCTCCCCGCTGCTCCCCTCAGCAGTGTATCTCAGTCCATCTGCTTGTTCTGCTCCCCACTCTGTCTCTGGTGAATCCTCTCACCGCCCCTGCACCTCTGGCCTACACCTCAGTTCTGTATGCATAAATAAAATTTTTTTATTATAATAGTTTATTTTTAAATAATTTTGTGCCTTTTTCCATCTCAGTTGCAATCCCCGTGGGCTTCCCACCACCAATTCACCCATGTGCCATCCACAGTCCAGTCTACTCCTCTCTCCCAATTTTTGATCCCATTCCCCACTCCACTCCCATAAAATGTCTCTGGTATATAGTTGTTCATCATTATTATTCCCCGCCCCTGGTCCTTTATGTATAAATCTTTTTTTTTTTTAAAGAAAGTCTGCAAATTAATCAGTCATAGAAACTACTGAACATTGTCTATTGAAAAACTTAAATAAAACAATAAAGCGGTCAAATCTTGGTAAGAGGAATGAGTCCAGTGAAGTTTTTATTGTTCTACTCCCAATCTTTCTCCACAGATCCCTACTGCCCTTGAAAAACTGCAACTCAACTACAGGCCACCTAGCACTCAGTGGAAGGCCAGAACTGTTTGGAGCTCCCTCAAAAGTCCTATTCCCACAGAATTGTCACTTTTTACATTTTCCAGGCAGTTGCCTGGAAAATCCCTATTCACAGGATTCACCATGTTGCTACAAAAAGTCTTTAAAAAAAAAGAAGCGAAGGCTGTTTGGATTTGGCAGTTTCTGGATAGAAGACCAAAGGTACAGGCAATAAGAGAAAAACTAGACAAATGGACTCATGAAAAGTCGCAAAACTTCTGGATCAAAAAACACCAACAGAGTTAAAAAGGTAACAACCTATGGAAACAGTGAAAAGATGGGCAAACCACATATATGATAAGGCATAAACATCCAGGGCACATAGAAAAATTCTAAAGCTCCCTGGGCAAGGGAGCTCCATACACAGTTCTCCAAAGAAGATACAAATAAATGATCAGCGCGAACATCAAAAGATGTACAAACAGTTTGCTGCTACTGAAGTAAAGTCACAACTAAATGAGATGCCACCTTTCGCCCAGGACCACGACTATAATGAAAGAGCCAGGCCGTGACAAAGCCAGTGAGGCTGCGGAGAACCCGGATTCCTCATCCGCTGCTTGTGGACGTGTAAAACTGCTCAGCTACTTCATAGCTCCCCACAAGGCTAACCTGGGAGTTAACATGCGAACACAAAATTCCACTCCTAAGGCTCTACCCAGAGGAATGAAAACATTGACCCAGGCAAAAACTGAGGTACTCCGTGTCCTCAGTGGCACTACTCACAACAGCCAAAAGGTGGGACGAGCCTAACACCGTCATGTGAGCAACCGAAATACACAATGTGGTTTGTCAAATAATAAAGGGCTTATTTGGCCTTATTTGACCAAGAGGAAATGAAGTACTGATACTTTCTACGACATCATGGCTCATCCGAGACTACATTCTGCTAGGTAAAACATGCCAGTCATGAAGACTGTGTCTCACAGGACACCAATGCTAGGAGATGTTCAGAACCCGCTAAATGACACTGACAGACGTAGAGCAATGGCAGCCTAGGATGAGGAGAGGGAAGAGTGACTGCGAATAGCTACTGAAGAATTACTTTGATACTCGTAGGAAATAAGTTGTTGGTGGTGATGGCTGCGTAATTGCAGGCATGGCTGAACTGCACATTTTAAACAATAAAGATTATAGTGTAAGACTGAAAAATCAATAAAAACATTATTAAAAGGCAAAACAGAATGACCTAATCATGGGATACACACATAGGGAGCTAAACACAGAAAAGTGCGGAAGGAGTCGCCATAAACACAGGATCATGGTTATTTCAGAAGCTCAGGCTCTGCAGAGGCTCATGGCTGACCTTGATGGGAAAAGAACTTTATGCATCACTTCATTAGGGTCATACATAGACACAAAACACGCAATTTGTCTGCAGCTCAGTGATACTATTGTGCAAGCGCGCTCACCGTCCATTTCCAGAACATGCTCACCATCCCAAACTGAAACTCTGAACACACTGAAGATCATCAACTTCCCATTACTCTTTCATCTAAATCTGGTAGTCTCCATTCTATTTTCTGTTTCTATGAATTTAACTAATAGATAAAACTCACACATTACACCATCACTATTTGTCCTTTCTGTCCAGCTTAGCTGTTCTTTTTTAAAAAAAAAATTTCTGGAAAAATACATATTTTGGCATTATGCTATCTTTTAAAATGAAAGAATTCTCAAAAAAAGGAAAAACCAAGTGAACTAGTGATACCCAAAGGAGCAAAATATGCATATACCTTCTAAAAGAATGTCACAGGATGAAACTTGATGGTGACTGTAGATGTGAGGATTGAAAGGGATGGTCTTGGAGAGATGAGACAGTACAGCATAAATGAATGAATCCAAAGGACAAGAGATGTTTAAAAGTACAGCTGGGAGGTGGAAACCATGAGAAACTGACACAGAAGGACATTCAAGTGCGAGGGCAGGTTTCAGACCAGATGGGGAGAAATGGACAGCCACAACAAACACACAAAAAGGCAGTTAAGTCTGCACTGTTTTACTCAAAGAAATAGGAGGGAAGAAGTCAGAAGACTAAACTGTTTTCTGAAAACATTCAAGGCAAGCAAAGCAACAATAAGTAATCATCGATCAACTGTGAAACATCACCACACTCACACCTGGGAGCCACCTATTCAGCCAACAAATACACCACTCATGTGTTCCTAACACAAGAACTCTTCTAGGTCTGGGTCATAAGGAGCAAAAACAGGAGTGGTCACTGAGCACAGGGAGGTCACAGCCAAACACTGGGTAGACTTTGAGGACACCCAGTATCGACAGGCATAATCTGAGGATCCCCCTATGTCAGGAACACTGCAAGAAGGATGTGGTTGGGAGACACCAACAATGGTGCTCACAGCCTGTAGCACCTGCCATAACATTCCCGGACACTGCTACAAACAGAACCTGAGGAAACGAATTGTGATGGTATTTAAATGTAAGAGCATTGTCCTGGCCTCATGGATCACACAGGCCCACTGAAGTCTTGGATCACACAGGCCCACTGATGTCTTCCTTTGGGGGCTGCGCACCAGCCAATTAGCCTTATGTAACAGATTGTCTGGCGAGATGTGCAGATCACTACAGTGACTCATGAGGAATAAGGGACACCATGGTTATGATGCCAGAACTAGAGACAGGCTTTTTGGGGTTAGTTTTTAAAAGAGGGAAATGTGTGGTAAGAGTGTGTCCACCACGGTCTCCAAGTCCCTGGGTGGAACATTTGGAGTCAGCTCAGCAACGGACAACAGGATGCAGGGGTGGGGGAGGGGTGTTCCGGTGGCACAGTTGAGGGGGCATGGAGATTTTGCTTCCTCTCTCATGGTACCGTCCAGCATTATAGAGGTCACAATCCTTGGTGATGGCAAGAGGACTTTAGCCAAGGAACACTGACACTGATGCTGGGGAGCAAAGTCACAGACAAGGGCACTATCAGAAGCAGAGACCAGAAGGACTAGAAGGACACAGCCAGAAGCCTTCTCTCTCAGAGGTGGGTAGAAGCTACCTTTCGAGCCAGCACAGCTCTGGACTGAACTTGGGGCTGAGGGCCCGTGTGTCAGACGGAGCGGCTGCTGGTGGACACAGGCCCAGCATCATCAACGGACTCGCTAGGACTATGACAGGGGCAGCCTCTGGGACAGACCCTGCCTCTACACTGCCTTCTCTACGGGAAATCCTGGAGCCCTTGAAGGATGGGAAGATAAAATTTCCGACTCGGACGCTGCAGGAAAAGGTCCTGAGGTTAGGGTCAGCGGCAAGACCGTCCTGTGTCAGGTGGGGGATCGTGCTGGCGTTGGTTGTGATTTCCCTGCCAGGCCGGGGCTGTGGCCTGGCGTCGGCACACGACTCTTCCTATGAGATAGTCACCCCCACGATTCTGACGGCGGAGCGGACGGGAGACCCCGGGGAAGAGGCTTCCTACGTGCTGGTTGTGCAGGGCCAGAAGCAGCTGATTCACCTGACGGTGAAGAGAGACTATTTTGTCAGTAACTTTCCTGTCTTCAGCTACCACAGTGGCATCCTGGGGCAAGAAATGCCTTCCGTCTCACGGGACTGCCACTACGAAGGCTACATAGAAGGTGCCCCAGGTTCTTTTGTCTCTGTGAACACCTGTTCAGGCCTCAGGGGCATCCTCATCAAGGACGGGAAAGCCTATGGCATTGAGCCCATGGAGCCTTCGCAAGGGCCTCAACATGTGCTGTTCACCATGGCACAGCAAACGCGAGTCTCCTGCGCCGTCACCTCCAAAGCCAGCCCAGGGGTGTCCGCCAGCTGGCAGCAAGGGGGCAGGAGGCCTCCCAGCCCGCACACGCTGTCCTCCCTGTGGTCACACACCAAGTACGTGGAGTTGTTTGTGGTGGTCAGCAACCAGCGGTTCCAGATGTGGGGCAGTGACGTCAATGAGACCGTGCGGAG